ACACACACACATGCATATACATACGCACCACACACACACACATACACATATATACATAAAACTTTTTTTATTTTTTATTTTATTAAAATTATCGTAATCTAAAAATTATATACTTTGATGATAATTTAATTTTCTTTTATGATTTTTATCAAATTTTCATGAAAATAAATTGATTGAAAGAGAATGTATTGTAATTATTAAATACACGTTATGATACGGTTATTAGAAAGTATAGCATTATTTGTAATTTAGTAGCTAGTAATTTGAGTATGCTATTTGAAGACTTCGTATATGTGACATACGTGAAATTATTTTTACAGAAAAAAATTATTAAATTATGACATGCGATTGATTAGATTATATAATGTGCATAAACTGTTCATTTTATATAGTGACTTTATTAAAAGTATAATACATAAAAATATAATAAGTATTACAAATATATAAGATTTTGTAAATAAAAATAACATAAATATAATTAAGTAGAAAATGTTGATAAATGTTTATGAAAATTTATCTTTTTATATTAATATTGTAAAGAAAATATATTAATACGCTCGATACAAGAATTTATTAAGAAAAACAAGTCTTATAATATTTATTTACTAATAACAGCTATACATTATTGCATTATAATATTTTTAATAGTACCAATTATTAAAAACATGAAGTATTTTTCTAAATTATATTTTTGTCAGTATTATACTGTGTATATGTTTATTTCCAATTTAATGTACGAAACGTATTAATAGATGAAATATAAGATGTAAATGTAAAATATTATGTCTTCTCTCTTTCCCCCCCCCTCTTTCCCCTCTCCCTCTCTCCCTCCCTCTCTTCTCTTAACCCTTAAAAACTGTTTTGTAACGTAAATAAACTACACTTCGAATGACATACTCAAATCAACTTTGATTACTCAGAATATTCATAAAAATAAATATATTTTAACAAATGTTTTGATCAAAACGCTAGTAAGAAATATAACGGTACCAATCAAATGTACGTATCTTTATTAATAAAAAAGTTATAAGCTATAAAGTAACCAATAGTTTAAAAAAAAAACACATATTTAAAAATTCTTATTTGTTGTACTAAGTTACAAAAATATTTTAAATATGAATTTTGGAAAGTAAAAACTTCGACCTTTCAAAAAAAATACTTGTATTATTATATTTTTTAAAAAACAATTATTTACTCTCCACACACACACACACACACACACACGCACGCACACACGCACGCACACACGCGCTCGCGCGCGCGCGCGCACACAAGGTATTCCGTTTTAAAGGATCCACTGAAATATCGCGGAAACATTAAATTAAATCGAAAAATGTTTCAGACTAATATTTTTTTATTTCGATGGGGACATAAGATAATATTATTGATTTGACCTTGGATGACATTGTCAAGATTAGGACAACTAACTTTTACTTCAAATTTTTTGAACAGAACCTTCCACTTTTAATTACATATTATTGTATTGTAGCTTATCTCGGAGATCGCCTCTCGGGATCGCCTCTTTCGCTAATTTTGGCTGACTTGGTAATTCAAGACTTGGAGAATGATATTTTTAATACTACCACGCACATACCTTTTTATTTTCGTTATGTTGATGATATCGTGCTTGCGGCTCTTATTAATCTTATTACCAACATTTTAGATTCCTTCAATTCGTACCACGAGCGCATTAAATTTACTGTGGATTATGGCGATGACAGGGGTATCAACTTTTTAGATATCAAACTGTTGAGCAATAATGGTAGAATTATTTTCGACTTGTACAAAAAGCCTACTAACTCTGGGAGATTTCTCAATTTCTTCTCCAATCATCCTACCATATACAAGAAAGGTGTTGTGATTGGGTTTTTGGACAAAATTCTATTTCTTTCCCATCCAAAATTCCATCACATTAACATCAATTCTCTAATTATCACTCTCCTTCGCAATGGATATCCGTTACAATTTTTATTTAAAATGATAAACAATAGAATTAAAACGTTATCAAGAAAAAACAATTTTGATACCATTAATGAACATAATATTAACACTAATACGGGCATTTCTATTGTAAAGAAAAAATTGTTCACTATTCCTTACTTAAAGAGAACGTCTGAGAAATTCAATGCAACTCTAAATAAATTTCAATTTGAATTGGTATACAAACCTATGAACAACTTGAATAGTTTTATAAAAATGGGGAAAGATAAGATAAAAAAAGATGAACTTTCGAATGTGGTATACCAAATTAATTGTAAGGACTGCGATTATTCGTACGTCGGTCAGACGAAAAGGAAATTAAAGACGTGTTTAAAAAAATACATTAATGTACTTAAAAAAACCAGCTAATTCTCACTCCGTTATCTCAAATCACAGATTTGACACAGACCATGTGATGGATTGAGATAACGCAAAAATATTGGATTCGGAACGCTCTCATTACAAAAGATTAGTATCTGAGATGATTTATATTAATATGCAAAAAAATGGTTTAAATAAACAAAGCGATACGGAACGGTTTCCAGATCTTTATCTCCCTCTCCTTGAACAATAGTTTCTGGCCCCACTCTAAACTTTTTCCCCTTCCTTTCCCTTTTTCTTATCTTTCTTTTTCCTTTTCTTAATATAAATAGACTAGCGTTTTTAGCTTTTGTCGTTATTTGCAGTTTAAATTCACTCATTACCTAAATATGTCACAGTGTTCAGTTGTACAGATGAGTCTTCGCACCCCGGGATACGCGTAAGTTTGTTCTGTTGGTTTTTAAAAAATTTTCTAAAAAATTTTCTGGGTGGAATCTAAGCAGGAGTATATTTCTTAATCTGATTGTTTTTACAGTAATACGATGATATCTAATTTACTTGTTGAAAAATTTTTTTATTTTTACAATAGAACTTAGTATTTGCGTGTCTCTTCGTGTGGGGCTCGTCGTTTTTAAATAAAGATTTCTTAATTGTATCATGACGAAAAAAACTTTCGTATTTTCTTTCTATTCGTATAGCGCGATAACAATCAACTGTTACTTTAATTTACTTTGATCTGTTGCGATTACTACTGTATTGTAAGAAAATAATAATTTTTTTGTTACTTGCTATCACTACATTTATCAGTTGACTTGCGTATTTAGTTATAATGTATTTATTTTTATTGTACTGAAGAGGGTCAAATCTTGACCGAAACGTCTACTTATTGTTGTGAATTTGTTTTAAATAATATATAACTTATTTACATCCTTGGTCGTGGCTGTATGCTCTTTATTATTTAACTTTATCTCGGAGATTTTCAAAACACTATAATGAAATACTGTTTCATTAAGTATTTTTTGAGTTATAAGGCTTGAAATTTACTGCCAACATTAGCATTAATTATCTAAGGTATCGGGATAGACGGCTAAAACCTCTTAAATGTTGTTCAGGATTATGACCTGGATCACATTTATCAAGATTAAGGCCATTGGAACAAAAATATATTAATATATAGTATATTAATATATATAAATATATTATACACATATGTATATACTTACGTTGATTATACTAACAAAAAGCTATCTTAAGGAGATCCTAAAGTTTCCTATTTTATTGATTAAATCATGTAATTTTTGTATAACAAATACTTTTTTCCTCTTTTACGGATTCAAAAATTCTTTTCCAAGATTGAAATATATGCATTAATACGTGTCTGGGAAGTGGAATCTATGCCAAGAATAATCAAAAATTTCAAATTGATATATTTTTTATCGTAATTTTTTAGTGTAACATGGCATCTCAGCTATCAAGTCGTGACAACATTTGCCTGATATGAAAGCTTTGCAACTTGTACGTACAAAATAGTGATTTCCGAATATGTAGTTTATACGAACAAACAACGTCGAATTCTTAGAATTAGACTTAGATGCTTTATCGCGACGAGTTTGTACGAAAATTTATATGAAAATTTATATGTGCGACTGCATGTATCACAGGTGCGTGAGATATTGATGTGGTAGTATAAAGACATGTCGATGCGCGGCGCGCGGCACGACCTCTGGTGACTTCGTCGAAGTTTGAGCTTTGCTTTAGCATCCCCTTAAATGCCACACTTAAGTGATACACATTTTCAATGTTTGATATTTCCTAAAACCCTCTTCGTAAATTATTTAAAGTTTTATGGAATATAAAGATAAAACTATAAAATTTATTTTCTGGCCCGAGACGGTAGCTACTTTCCAAAAACAAAAAAAGTCTAATCTTGGAAAGAAAAAGACATAGATATGCCATACAACATAACAAATACATATTAATACAAATTATTATATCTTGTAATTAATATTGCAATATGGTATAATGATAAAATATTAATTATTATTACAAAATATAATCAACATCGTAATATAATCCCGTTAAAAAATAAAATGTTTAAATAGAGAAAATATACATATTTATCTAACATTACTTCAAATAATATAATAAGATTCTTTAATTCGAACAAATTAATAAATAAACAAAATAGGACCGCGCGCCATTGCGATGCACGATTGCCTTCAACTCCAAAAAAGCTATTTGACATTATAAAGCAACATTATAAAGATTAAGTTAGCTCTGGTCTGTTTTACAGACAGATGTAGCGGTTTACGCTGCACCATAATTTTTAATTTAAAATCGTATTATGAAAAACCTATGAGAAAAAATAATATAAGTAAAATTAATTTAGGAAATTTGCATTTAAAACAACGTAATATTATTAATAATATAGTCACTATTATTTAAATTATTTGTAAAAGAAAATTGTAAGAATTTTATTTTCGCATTCGTAGAATTTATAGCTGATTTAGTATAGAAACGAACATAAATAGGACAAGATCGAGTATTACGAGCATTGCAGGTAAAACGAGGTCTGGCTATTA